ATAGGCCAGTTACAGAGCCAAATGCACCCTGGCTGATGGTAAGTAGGACCATAAACTTTTTAGGTTCTTCTTTTATGTGCAGCCGCCATTTGGCTAGATGTTCATTGTGATCCTGTGCAGACAGATTGTTGTGAAGTCGCAACTCAACAACTAACAAGCTAGATAGCAGTGAAAAAGTTCCACCAGTTACTGAAATCTGCTCACTGCTCTGTAGCGACAGAACTGCTGTCAACTCACAGCCTTATGTACAGGACACTCATCCCTCACAGTGAGGTCTGACAGAGAAATGGTCCAATCACAGTAGGATACATATAGCCCATGGTGACATTTTCCATGTTAGGCCCCAGGCACATTTCCCCTTCACTGTCTCACTCTGTCCTCTCCAGGAGTCCCCTAGTCACTTCCCAACATGAGCAGTGTCCGAAGGGAATAGCTCCCTTCATTACTTCAGCCTGGTGTCTTGCTCCAATGGTGACTACTTATAAGGAGAAGGAGGTCCCTGTCACAATCTGCACATCTATCCCTCTTTGTCTTGATTCTGAGACAAAAAAGCTAAAAAATAACAGGACAGCACACTTTACAAAAACCTGAGCAGGACCCCACCATGATGTCTTTGTGGGCTCAAGAAATCCTGGCAAGCATAATACACTGACTGCAGAAGGAGCTTCTAAAAATGTTCTGGGTGGATGAGCACCCAAATTGGTCTCTTCTCCTGTCCAGCTGATGGACTCAGCCTTTTCCTACAGCCGTTGGCTGTTTGTGAGGAAATGGATGAGCTGGGAGCAAACTCAGAGCTGTCTGGGAGGGAGTCTCTCTGAAGGAACTATAGGAAAGCTTTTTTGAGTGCTTTCACTTCTTTTTACTGACTGGCTGGGGGAGATGAGCAAGTCCCCAGGGATTTTTTCCAATGGGCACAAAAGCACCTTCCTTGAATATGCACCACTCACTCCTTGAAAAGTGTCAGCAAAGGAAAACATATAACAAAGTCAGCTCAGGGAGAACAGACATGTCCTATCTCCAGTGGAGAAAAAGCAAAAATCTTAACTCAAACCTCCCATGTTAAAGCTGAAATGTGACTTTAGAAACTTTAGTCATGTAAAGGGAAATGGAAGTGGTGGACATGAGAGGCAGTATGGGAAAGGTAGTTTGTAGTGGCATGCCAATATAGAGAAAGGCAGCTTGGGAAATGAAGTCTGAAATATAGTGATGCTATAGAGAAAAGCATGCTGGGAAAGCCAGCATAGGCAATTCTTGCATGCCCAATTCCTCACTAGGCTCTGCA